ATAATGATTCTCCAATAGGATTGACTCGGAAGGAAAATCATTAAATTATTCGATTTCTGTGCACAATTTGTGAACTTTTATAATTGCATCGTAAAGAAGCACCTCTGGCGAACTTTCTAATATAATTTTGGACATCAATTTCTTCTTAGTTAATTAATTATTAATAATTATTACACGTAGTGTTCGAATTATTGTCGGAGAAGCTAATAGTTTGTCATTAATAACTTTCTTTTATGCAATTAGCAAACGAATAACATTCACGCATTATAAAAGCAATATCCTTAGCAATATTCCCATATAATCATTGTTCACATTTTACTTCTAGTTTTCGTCATAATTAAATATTGTAACTAACTATCGTGTCGGCTGTTATTATCAAATTACGTACGCCTTCAAATAATTATTAATAACAAGCTAATTAGCAACAAATTATTACCGAAAATTACATGAGAATGTTGCCCAAGGATCCATCTTACTGATGCAACTATAAAAGTTCACGAATTAATTAGGGAAACTTATCAATTAGCGATTGTTCATTACCGCGTCGTCTCTATCCTCTTCTAACCGTTTGCTTTCCTTGTCTATCACATAATGCTTCGACGACCTCCTCGCGCATTCTGTGTTCCTGTTACTTTTTCGAGCTTCGAGTCCAAAACCGCAAATGGCTCTGATCGAAAGACGCTCGAACGTCTATCCTTGTCTATCTTATTGAAGGTTATACCGCTGTATAACGGGTTGCATTAGGGGCATATTGAGTTTAGTTTTCGTACAACAGGGTCATTTCGTTTTTCCTTTTTTATTTACGTAGCTGTACGTTAAAGATGATACAAAATAAATTTGATATAAAAACTATAAAGCGAAGTATAACGTTTGTACACGAGTGATTCAAATTCTTGTTACAGTTATTAATAGGATGGAGAACAAATAAAAATTTTCTTTTTTCTATGTTTAATTTATTGTTTTGATGAACATATTCTCTGAATAAGTTTTGCTACCGCGTTTTATTATGCTTAATAAGCAAACATCGGCGTAACTTAAAATTATTGTTGTAACATCATTTTTCATATAAATTTGTATTAAGCAAACACAACATTAAAAGAGATGGTACGTTCACAGAAATCAAAGAAATTCACCTCATTCTCCAAGATTTCTGCCTCTTCAACATTGCAGCGTTGGTATAGAACTTTCTGCCAATATTTGAGATTTTATATTAGGCAAACGTAACATTAAAGGAGCTCTCACGCTGGCAAAATTCTGTGCCTACAAAATTCGCACAATTGGCACGAAACCCTCTGCCAATTTTGCAATTTTCTATCAGGCGAACATAACATGAAAGGAGGTCGTTCGTCGACAGAATTCCAAGAAATGACGTCACTTCCTAGAATTTTTGGACAATACTTTTGCAGCCTGGCCAAGAATTTTTGTAGCCAATTTTACGATTTTGTATTAGGATAACATGACATGACAGGAGGTCGATCATCGAGTCAGTTCCAAGAAATGACGTCATTTCCAAGAATTTCTTGGGCAATAATTTGTGGTCTCGGCGAGAAAGTTTCGGTCGAATTCACGATTTTGTATCAGGATAATATAACATGACAGGAGGTCGATCACCGAGTCATTTCCAAGAATTCTTCGGATACTACTTTTGCAGTCTCCGCGATAATTTTTTAGCCAATTTTGCGATGTTGTATCAGGATAACATGACACGAAAGGAGGTCGATCATCGAGTCAGTTCCAAGAAATGTCGAAATAGTCTCGGTGAGAAATTTTTGCTCGATTTTGTAAGTTTATATCAGGATAACATGACATGGCAAGAGGTCGATCATCGAGTCATTTCCAAGAATTCTTCGGACACTACTTTTGCAGTCTCCGTGATAAATTTTTAGCCAATTTTGCGATTCTGTATCAGGATAACATGACACGAAAGGAGGTCGATCATCGAGTCAGTTCCAAGAAATGTCGAAATAGTCTCGGTGAGAAATTTTTGCTCGATTTTGTAAGTTTATATCAGGATAACATGACATGGCAAGAGGTCGATCATCGAGTCATTTCCAAGAATTCTTCGGACACTACTTTTGCAGTCTCCGTGATAAATTTTTAGCCAATTTTGCGATTCTGTATCAGGATAACATGACACGAAAGGAGGTCGATCATCGAGTCAGTTCCAAGAAATGTCGAAATAGTCTCGGTGAGAAATTTTTGCTCGATTTTGTAAGTTTATATCAGGATAACATGACATGGCAAGAGGTCGATCATCGAGTCATTTCCAAGAATTCTTCGGACACTACTTTTGCAGTCTCCGCGATGAATTTTTAGCCAATTTTGCGATTTTGTATCAGGATAACATGACACGAAAGGAGGTCGATCATCGAGTCAGTTCCAAGAAATATCGAAATAGTCTCGGTGAGAAATTTTTGCCCGATTTTACCAGTTTATATCAGGATAACATAACACGACAGGACGTCGATCACCCAGGCAGTTCCTAGAAATGACGTCATTACCAAGAATTCCCTGGACAACACTTTTGCAGCCACGGCAACATTCTTATACAATTTTCGCAAATAACTTCATCTTAACCAGTTCGTTGTCCATAATTATTCGAAGGCGAACGTGATTCGGAAACACAGAAAAATCTTTGGAAAACGATTCCAAGCTGAGAGCTACGCAACGCACGGTAAATTTTTGCCATTTAGCTTCGCTTTCTTTCATACCATTGGATCATACTCCGTACGATGGACGTTGGCTGAGAACTCGCGAGGACATTGGCAATTGAACGGATCACGCGAAAGGTTTATAACTCGTTGCGCGAGTGTATTCCCAGAATGCAGGGGGGAAAGTGTGCATTTCGGTCGGGACTCGAGGGTCGGGCCGTCGTGTCACCGTAATCGCGCGTCGAATCGGTCGCGACAAGTTTGAAAATTTTATCGAAAATCGGATGAACGGTGACGGCGCAGAGGGAAGGGGTGGGAAAACGGCAGGGGAACGGATCAACCTGCTTTCTCCCCGCTTTGACATTTCGTTTCAAACGTTATTAATTATTCCGCTTTGCACGGCCAATCGACGCCCCGGTTAATACGCTTACAGCGATCCGGGATCGGAGGCCTGGCTTCGGCGCGGGTGCGCGCAGCGATTCGTTGTTTTGACGGGATATACGATTTGCGAGGTCGACCTGGCATCGGCCGCGTTACGCTTAACACGCTACGTGGCGCGTATTTTCCCGATGCACCCGGGGCTCCACGCGATCCAATAACTTCGGCTGTGCGACGAGTCGCGTCCGTGACGTCGCGATCGCGGCGAATCGCTGCGAATCGCTGCCACGTCGATCGATCCAGGGAGCCATCCGTTCGTCCGGTCTCTCCTTTATCGTCGACACAATGCTCGCGTTCATCGTCCCGGGAAACATCGCGAACACAATTAACGAGGCTTGTTAAAAGATCAAAGCAGCTAGGAAGAACTGCGTCGCGCCGAGTTCGAACCGTCGCTACGAAACGGGCTACTAATTAACGGAAGTTAATACTAATTAATAGCGGAGGCTGATTCACGGGGCACCGGGCGAGTCGCTCGTTATTTCCCTCGGCCGATATTTACAGACACGCCGGGCGTTTCGACTGCGATGTTTTCAAGATTTATCCGCCGCCTTGCACGGATGCTAACTCGGCTTGTCGTTATCCCTGCCATCGTGTTTACTCCGACGCGATGCTCAATTATCCACATCGGTGGGAATTAGTCGACGGAGACTGCGACAACGACTACAACGACAACGACGACGGCCGGAATTCCCTCTCAGCTCTCCGGTTTCGTAGTCGATGCGAATTTATTCGTGGAACGCTCGCGAGCTGCTGCTGCTGCTTGTCCGTGGTAAGAGAAACGAGGATATCCCATCGATTTAACCAAGTCGCGGAGCAACGAACCGTTATGTTGCGCGGGAGCACGTCGGGGTAGTTTGCAGATCTACTGAAAATAGAATCGGCGCTCATTGAGAAGCCTTAGCCTCGCTGACTGCGAGGAGGAAACCGGAGCGGGCGAGTACGGTGATCGAGGCACGGGACAGGAGAAAGGGGAGAAGAACCTGGAGAAGAAAAAGTAACCGCGGTAGCTCTCGACTTGTTTACAAAATAGAATAAAGGAGAGCTAACCTGTTGAGGTATCAGCCGGATGAAGAGAAGCTACTTATCATGGAGAACCGCGGTCCTTTTGCAGCGCCTCGGTGAACGAGCACGGTGTCGTTATGGAATTTATTTCCGGCCGGCACGGTCACCCTTCTTTCCTCGAATGCCGGAAACTCGTGGCGCGGAAGTGGACGGGACGCCAGCCGGCAAAAAGGCGTCGCGTCGCGTCGCGTCGCGTCGCGTCGTCGGTCGGACGCGATTGGGAATATCGGCACGACGACTACCACGACCACCACCACCACCACCATCACCATCACGACGCCCTCGAGATTTCTCGAAGGATTGGGATTATCCGGCGAAGGGTGAAACAGGAAGGCGTGGAGCGAATCGTTCGGTTCGTTCCAGAAATCCAATCGTCGCCGGATAGAATGCCGTTAACCTGTTGAGACGCGCCACGCGGACGACAGGGCTGGCAATTTTTCCGCGATCTTTCGAAACTTCTTCGTTTAAATAATCGTCCAGCCGTATCGCCGATTCAATCCAACACCCAGAGGCTGGATCAAAGTCGTCGTCGGAGCGGATGAAAAGGTATCGATTGGCTGGTGGCGATACTCGATCCGGGTGAAACGGATGCTAACCTGTTGAAACTATAGGCCGACGAGGCCGTCGATTTTACGCGCCCTCTTCATCCGAGGTATCCTCTGGGCGTCGCTCTCTGCTTGCAAATCGCGTTTAAACTCCGCGTTACGTCACGACTCGTCATCCTCCTCGTCGCGATTTTATTAGAGAGAGAGTCGTACACGTACAGAGAGTCGTATAAAAGAGTGGATGGAGAACGAGCACGGTGCTCGATACGGGCGCGAAGATTAAACGAAAGCACCGGAAACTAACCTGTTGAGGCACCAGGTGGATGGAGAGGCTGCTTATAACGGAGACCTCCAATTCGACCCTCTCGGAACCGGCCGTATTGTTGGCGTGACAGACGTATCGTCCCGCGTCCTCTGCCCTCGCTGATTGCAGCACCAGCACACCCGCTCTAGCGTAGATCCTTTCCGAATTGAAGATCATCGCCGTGCCCGTCACGGACTCGCGAAACCACAGATACATGGGCGGTGGGATTCCCTGGGAAATGCACGAGAGCACGATCGTCTCTCCCGTGCGTATAGGCGCCGGACTCACTCGTTCGTTGAACCTCGGCGGAACTGGGGTATGAGGGTCTGAAAATGAAGGAAATTTCTTTGATCTCCTCGCTCGCGAATAAGTTAATTACTCGCACTGGTCGGCTACCGTGCTTTCCGATAAATTTGTCTCGTGGAAAGCTACTCGACGTTCCTCGGAAAAATTCCAAAGAAGATATCGTTCAATGGCCGCAGTCGCGTCGAGCAGTCTCGTCGCGGTTCCTCGAGTGTCATGGAAAATACCCCGAGCACAATTTACAATTTTCTGATAACGCTCGCTGTAATTACGAAATTATTACCGTGTCGTTAAGTTTCGAGTGCGCATCGTCTGACGACGAACCGGGGGCGAGCGAGTCTGACTGCGCGGGGTCTTTGAAAACGAACGCTTAAACGTGCTTACGCGGGAGCGGAAGAAGGCTCGTCGAACCGTTGCTTCGAGTCGAACTTTAACTCGCGGATAGCAAGGAAATCGAGATACGCCGGTCGTTTCGGCGAACGAGACGTTTCTCTCGAAGAGTCTCCGATCGAAACGGTGCCTGTGAGCCGGTCCGAAGCGGTCGAGTCGTGACCGTGGAACGGGGGAAAATGGCAAAAGTTTAGCATCGGAAGTTTGGAATCGACGCGTTATTTCAAGGCTCGCGCGATCAACTTGCACGCTGTCCGTTCGTTTCGAGTGTTAAAGAAAATACTCTCGAGGCGTTTTAGAAGAGAGGTCGAGAGTGGCCGATGAATCGTAACGATGAAGAAGCGTGGAAGTGGGCGAGGAAGAAAGAAAGGGGAGAGGGAAAAAGGGAAAAGGGAGCCGTGGCCACGGGAATGGATTCTTCTTCTATCATCAATTTTTCTTCGACCGTCTCTCCCACTTGATACCTCGAAATGCATTTCGAATCTCTCGGACGTTCACGGGAAAAGAAATCTCCGCGGGCTTGTTGAAAGAGACAAAGATCCCGGTATCAATTTTTCACAGCCGCGGAAGACCTCCTTTTGTCCCTGTTACGTATTATTCGAGTTAGTATGCTTGGCAAATTTACATTTATTTCCTTCCTTCTCCACTCGCCTCCTCTCTCTCTCTCTCTCTCTCTCTCTTCCCGTCTGCCTCCTTTATTTTTACATTTTCGCGTTGCCTTATCGCGTTAATTATGAGTCGCTAACAATCGCGGTAGGGATCTTTATTATTAATTCGGCAAGCTTGGCAAACGAGGTACGTTTATCCCGCGAAATGTAAACCCATCGACGAGAAGCACCGTTCGAACCTCGTTATAATTTCAACGGCCATAAACGTTTCGTCGAGTCGATTGCATTTAAATATCCACGCGTAATTACGAAAACCGATTCTCTTTTACTCCCCTCCACGATGACACACGCGTTTCTGCAGCGATACGAGGAGGATGCTCTACCGCCCCCTTTTTACCCTATCTCGCAACTATTAACCCTTCGCACTCGGCGATATTTTCGTTACAGAAACTTAGTAATTCGAAGACTTCCTGCCATAAAGTCGACGATATTTTCAAAACGGTAACTAAGAAATGTAGATTAATTGTAAGACAGAATTGTATTACCTCGATATTCCACGCGTCGTTGGATTTTTCAATTTTAAATTTGAGATATTAATTAACAATGATCTCTAGAATTCGATTAAACGGCGACTGAGAGTCACCTCTCGAGTGCAAAGGGTTAAAATCGACCGTTCGCGACCGGTCAAGGTACCCCCCGGTTTAATAACTCGGCAATTGGAGCTGTCCTGTGGGCAGCGAATGGTCGGTGTTTTCACGCTCGTGGATGACACGCGCGGGCCCTTGGCTGATCTAAATAACAACGGACGAAACGACGGATCGATCGGAACCTTCGACCCTAATACCACGGGTCTGGAATGGATGAACATTTTATTTCAGTTTCGACAGCGATTAAACGCTGCACGGTGTTTGTCGAACGGTTGAACCCGGTGACACCGGGGCTTTTTACGACTGCACTATTTTATAATGGCGCGCTCGCTTTGTCTGGTCGGCGTTATTATTGTAATTTAAGCTGATGGCGTATTGATCGTCGCTCGCCTCTACCTCGCTCTCCCTTTTCCTCTGCCTCTCTTTGTCACTCTGCCTCTCTATTCGTCCTGCCTCTGCACCCGCTCGCTCGCCCTCGCTCTCTCTCTCTCTCTCTCTCTCTCTCTCTCTCGATCTCTGTCGTTGCCTCTCAGACCGTCCCTCTTCCTCTGCACGGTCTTTCTCTCGCTCTTGCCAGTGTGCAATTCCAGTTGCCATATTCCAGCAACGCCCCGCCACCACACCCTTGTTCATACTCCCGGCTCCCGGTTGCACCGGCTCGTGCATATGCACGCTCAAAACTTTTTATGCCATTTACATCCGACTTACGCCTCAACGTCAGCGTCGTTCGCGCCGACGGTGACCGGCGTGCGGAAAAAGCGGAGAAGAGTGGCGAGAGGAGGCACGGGGCGAGGGAGGGGGCGAGGAAAATAGAGAAAGCGCGACTTCGATGATCGATCGATGCTCGAATTGAAAGAAGGAAAAAAAAATGGGGGGGGAGGGAAAGGAATTTGCTTGCCACCGATTGCTCCAGCGACGAGAGGCTCGATCACGCGTTAATAATTCCACCCCCTTTGCTCGCGACAGCTCCGCGTGTCTCGTTCTTACTTCCGGCTCGTTGGATCCACGCCGTTTAAATAGCTAATCGGCCGGATTGTCGATCAACCTGTTACCCTCCGGCTGAAATATTTATCGGTCTTGGTATGTACACGGGGGGCGAATGAACTCGTCGCGGTTAAACGCGGATTATGAGCAGGCGGAATATTACAGGGGTAAGTATCGGGTTAACCGGAAAGTTGTCGCGCTCGCTTTGACCCAATCAGAGATGGAATGGGCAAATGATTTTTGAATAACTGGAAAATCGGCCGAATATTCCGACACGGTTCTCGTGTCAAAATGTATAATTATTAACGGAGCTGTAGGACGAATAATAAATTTGTTAATTAATTGTGGGACTGCGATATGGGTTTAGAATTGAATCGTAAAATCTGCGTGTTCTAAAATCCTGATAATTCGTCGATAGCTTCACTTCCATACGGAATGCATCGGTATACTGCAGGTAAAGCCCTTAAGATGGAGATTTTAGTACGTAGTCGTCTCCACGTTTCTCCAAAATTTTCTTTCGAAGAACGATGCCACGCTAGGATACGAATCGCGTACCAATCTCGTTCGCTAAGATTTAAATTTCCTGCTTCGTCGATATAATACGATAATTAAGGGTTAAAAATTACCGTTCGATGTAACCGATACGGGGTTCTTGGTCGTCGATTTTTCGCAACTCGTGATTGTCATGGACGCGAGTTTTATGCGCGAAACGGTGTCGAGCAATGGCGGAAAAAATTCGATATGCGTATCAGCGGAGCCTGGGGTAAGCAAAGCTGGAATACCGGGCGAGCTTTAAAGACTGGAGATTTCGCGTTTGAATGGTTGCAAGCGGAAGACAAAAATTTCTAAGCAGATTGCCGCGGCGCGGAGGGGTGAATCGGCTGGGGAAATGGAAGGCGGATGGGCCGATGAAAACTTGGAAAAGCGTTCTCGGTCGGAATGCTCTTACCGCGGAGGCAGGGATTCGCGGGAGTTAAAAAATTGAACAAGGGAGAGAAGTTTAATTAATAGCTGGAGCGGCAAGTGATTTCCGAGTACACAAACTCGACGACCAGTATCGAGTAGAAAGAGTAGCGGCGCGCGGCCGCGCGCGGTGTTTAAGCGGACAGACAGTGTGCTCAAACGAACATCTTGATATCCTTTGAACCATCGCTCATTGACTATGTAATCCAGAGGCTCGATCCTCGAGCGTGAGGGCACGTGAAACGGTGACGAGAGTCCGAGAGCGAGAGAGACGCGGAGAGGGCAGGAGAAAGAGAGAGAGAGAGAGAGAGAGAGAGAGAGAGAGAGAGAGAGAGAGAGAGAGACGGAGGCGCGGAGTGGTGTGCGGCGCGGAGAAAAAAAGCGGGCTGAAGGGAGCAGAAACCGCGGCGGAACGATGTCCAATTAAACCTTTCGAGCCGTCGACTCCAATTAAGACTCTATTAAATATACACCGGCCGTGTGTATCGTTGGCAAAGCGAATTTCAAATGGCGCCCGGTCTTTCTCATGTATTTACCCGGAACAAGCAACTTCACCGTGATAAAGTTGCCACTAATTAGCCGTACAATGTGTCTCTTGCCGACCGTTGCGAGACGCGCGCAATTCGCGTTCGCCTTTTTCCGTTCCTCGACTTCTTGCCCGCCAGCTTCCTGCCCCACCTGCCTGTTCGTTACGACCGCGCCGACACCCCCGTGCCTCGATCTCGCGCCCTCTAAATGCCATTTTAAAAGCCTCGCGGTGCGTGCGTCTGTCTCGATGCGTTTCCCCGCGTGGAAAGCGAAACGGGACCGAGGAGGAAAACGGTCGGCGAGAGAGGGAACGAGGTCGAGGCAAGTTTTCCGCGATTAATCCTTTAAGACGGGGGTAAAATAGGGGGGACGAATGGCGAAACTACGCGATGCAGCCGAGGGTGTACATTAGAGAACCGGGTGCGCGTATATCTCGCGAGCAAGGCGTATATAACGCCGTCGACTCGAAACTTCCGCTCCGCGAAGATTCTAGTCGAAAGGGCATCGAGTTGTTCCGCCGTTGGGAGCGGGGAATTAGTAGATCGTTCAGGCTTCATTAATTAGTCGACAACTCGGCTTTCTACATTAATTGGTAGCTATATTACCGGCAACCGTATTACGTCGTTGACTAATTACGTCATCGAAGTGGCGGCCCCTCGAACCGATAGAGCGCATATGTAATTTAATGCTAGCCGCTGATTGCTTCAGAATTCAGGTCACAACCCGCGATACCCGGGGCGCAATTTGCGCGAAAGACGTACACGTGTTTCCGTGCGTATTGCCGGGCCACAATTCCGAATAATTATATCTCTGATTTATACGGGCTGACAGGGTGGTGGAAACGCGCCGCCATCCGCCTCGTTTTACCCTCCGACCATACCCCCGTCAAAATTACCAGATATC